TGACCTCCATGGACACTAGAATAAATGTGATACATATATACATACAGGCAAAAATTTACAGACACAAAATAAAAATGAATAACTAAAAACAATTTAAGACTTTTTATTTAAAAAGAAGAAAAACTAATTGGTATCAACAAGGAGTAACATGGGAGGTACATACCAAATACAATGTCATATAATTTTTTTCCCCAAGACAGGGTTTCTCTGTAGCTTTGGAGGCTGTCCTGGAACTCACTCCATAGACTGGGCTCCCCTCAAACTCACAGAGATTCACCTACCTCTGCCTCCTGAGTGCTGGGATTAAAGACATGTGCCATGACCACACAGCAAAATCATATAAATATTTTAAAACAATAATCAAATAAACTAATACTCTTAATACAAACAACAAAAGCCAGAATTAGCTACCTTTAATTACAAAGACTAAGCTGAAAGCAGAAAGCTCTGGTACAAATGCCTAAATGAAATGACAATACTTGACCAAATATGGTTAAAATTCACCATATCAAATGGCTTTCTCATGGAGTTCAGATAACTATTACCTCACTACTGGGAGTGTCATGTTCAGGAACTGTATCTCGATGCTGTTTTTGAGAAGCAGATGTATTGACAGAAACAGATACGCTTTTTGGTGAATGGAAGGCATTGATGAGATGACTGAGAGGAACTGTAACCTAGAAAGAGAAAAGCTCAAATGAAGCAGCACATTTTTAAAAACATAACAGAAACAATCTCTTTTCTGGTCAGGGTTTAGGTTCTGTTAAAAGTTAAACATATACCAGATAGCAAAATTATGGGTACACTGGGATATTATAGGTGAGGGGTAGAGCTATTGCTCAGCACATAGAATGGTCTAGGTTTGATTCTAGCACCAAACACTCAAACCCAAACACACATAAAATGATTGGCACAAATGTAATAAACACACATAGGCATGCAAAAAAAATCAACAAAACTAAACATTAAAAATTCTCTATCCTCATTTACTAGAGGTAGGAAAAAAATGGTTTATTCTTTCAGCATACAATTCTGGGTATGTTAAAAGCCAGGCGTGGTGGTACAAACTTTTTATCCCATCACTGGGAAGAGACAGGCAGACCTCTGTAAGTTCAAGACTAGATTAGTCTACATAGAGTTCAAGGCCAGCCAGGACTATACAGTGACCATATCACAAAAATTAATTGATTTGAAATATGTATTTTTTCATCCTCCAAAGTCTACTTTCTAGAAAATTATCCTAAGGAAATAATTTGGCAAATGCATTCACATTAATAACATAACTTGTATCAACATAATTTTAAAGTGAATGAAAAGCTGGAGAGAACTATCATGAGGAATGTAGCAAAATAAAAGTCACTTTCACAGAATACTTCAACATTAAAGGCAAAAGTCCATACCAAGAATTTTCTGATCTTGTTCTTCCCCACTGCCACATCTTGTCCTAATTTCCACCAACTACTCACCTGCTCTGGCCCCTGCCCAGCTGCCACACATTCCCAGCAGGAGATAAGAGTGATCACATTAAAATCAAAGTCTATTAGATCACTCTTCTGCTTAAAATCTAATACCCATAGAACCTGAAAATCTTCTCCAGTCTGGTTCTTTATTACCTCCCTTCATTATGTGCCCCTTCATTCCAAGTGTTAAAAATGGTCCAAAGAACACATGGAAACACTTTATTTACATTTACCCATCTATAAGAAACAGAAATGAACAAAAAGAAATACATTGGACAAGGCCTGGAAAGAACACCTAGTGGACGACATCCTCTCTGGAATTATGATGTAACTAACACCCCACCACAAGGGAATTCACTGCCTAGCAGCTCAATGACAATGTGCTGAAATTATCTGATCTGACTAGTCCCACTCTGAGGTTATTTGCAGATTCAAGTTACCTCATTGGGACAAACACAGAAGCATCCATGGAGGCTTATGATTTACTAATAACTCAAGAAATTCTAAGAATTTCAAAAAAAGCTTGGCACAAGAAAGTTCACAACATTAAATATGTTTTATGGTATCATACTATCCAATTAAAACATAAACTCCACCTGGGCAGTGGTTGTGCACGCCTTTAATCCCAACACTCAGGAGGCAGAGGCAGGAGGATCTCTTCGAGTCCCAGGCCAGCCTGGTCTACAGAGGAGTTCCAGGACAACCTCCAAAGTAATACAGAGAACTCTGTCTCTTGAAAAAAACCAACCAAACAAACAAACCAAAAAAAAAAAAAAATACACCAAGAAGTAGGAGATGTTTATTGAGGAGACAGCACATTACTACAAGCCAAGTGCTTTGCACTACGAAGGGAGATCCAGTTTCATGAAACCCAAAACAAACAAGTATTTAAGTCATGGGAGTCCTGTCCTTAGGAAAAGATTGATGCTGTCACCAGAGGGGGTTTCCCACGTTGCTCTCTTTTGCCCTTCTACCATGTTATGTCTTCTACTTCATGACAGTAAATTATTCACCATGTCTTCTTAATAGAAATTAGTATTATATTCAATAGTCTCTATTGGACTGCTTTTTCAATTACTAAAACTTCCCCAGACACTGTCATCTTGGAAAACTGCCATTTTCTTCTATCAAGCTGACCAAAACAGAAACATCACTTTCCACCATCTCCCACTCTTGAGTTAGAGGCCAGGCTGGACCGACAGCCTCCAAAACAACACAGAGAAACCCTGTCTCTTAAAACAAAAAAACAAACAAACAAAAAAAAAAGGTGAATTTTTTTTTTCTCCCAAGGCAGGTTGGCTGCCAATTCCTAACCCTCTTGCCGGCCTCCCTCAGGTCTGGAATTAGAGGTGCCACACTAGACATATCTATTTCTTTCCCATAATGACTAAACACCACTTTATTAGGGCAGCACCCCTTTCCTGGGTTAGGGCAATAGCATTAACCTGTTAACACTTCCCTTATTTCCCACACTAGAAGAAGCCAGAGAAAGCCGACAAATAAACATCTGGCCACAGAAACCAAATCAAATTCACTCAACTGTCGTGAGACTCCTCTCAACCTTCATCTATGAAACCACTCCCGCTCCCTTTAATCACGATACTCTTGCCACAGTGGCATTACTTTTGTTTTTCACAGGATTTATATACACAGTTTTCTGTGTGGCTGAAATTCCTGTTTACTATTCACCTTTACTTCCAACCACTAGTAAGAATCCACATACACTTTGTTCTCTTGCTGCCCAAGAAGCAGCTAAACAGTTCCATTCTCTATTAAATAATCACCCAATATCATGGAAACACACACACAAACACAAACACACAGACACTCAAAGGGAGAAATAGGAATTAACTATCTTTTCTTCTTTTTCTTTGGGGGGGGAGGGGTTGGCCTTTTGAGACAAGTTTTCACTAGACTCTCTGCCTGCCTCTGCCTCCCACGTCATGGAATTAAAGGCCTCACCAAGCCCAGCTGGAATAATCAAGAAGTTGAGGGTTCGTCTGGTGAGGTGCCGGTGGGAGCTTCTAATCCCAGCACTTCGGACACAGGCTGAGTTCAAGGCCAGTCTGGACTACATATAGAGTTCTATGCCAGCAAAGATACACAGTGAGACCTTGCCTCAAAAAGTAAATATGATAAATTAACTAATTAATTAAAGCAGCCTGAATCAGAATGTTATTAGAAACCATTGTCTGATATCATCCAAACAACTAATGAATCAAGGAAAATATGAACACAATTTGGGTCCTGAAAAGAAGAAATAAATATGGAATATGAATCAATTCTTAAAGTATTTAATGGTGGGGGCTGGAGAGATGGCTCAGTGGTTAAGAACACTAGCTGCTCTTCCAGAGGACCCGGGTTCAATTCCCAGCACCCACATCACACAGCTCTCAACTGTCTGTAACTCTGACATTCTCACACAGACATAAATGCAACAAAACACCAATGCAAATAAAAAACTCAAAAATATACACGAGTTAAATCTAGCCAGAAAGAAAAAACATGATGGCTATTCAAATTATTAGGGTATGTTTGAGCTAAATTGTGCTTGAAGGAAAGCTAGAGGTTCAGAAAGCGGTAGATGGAAATAACATCATTCGTCCTCTTTACCTGTCTCGTAGACTTCACAAACCTCCTCCGAATGTACAACCCTAAACAACGCCTGGACTCTCTTAGCAGAAATTCTGAGCAAACATCGGATAAGCTAGGGTCTCCTCCTCCGCTGTACGATCACGCCTCTGCCCTCTTAGGCTGGGTTGCCAAACCTCTTAGCATTGCCCCCGATCTATTTCCAGTCCGCGACTTAACCCCGGGCTCGTCGCTTCCCTCACTACCTTGCTTCAGAAAAACCGATTCCACGGCAGCATCCGGAAAACAGTCGCAAAAGGGCCACAGGACAATGGCTAAATGCTGGGCTCACCTGGGGCTGCACAGTGCTCGACAGCGAGAACATCTCTGGGCCCCCGGGACCTTACCGGCCAGTCGAAACTGCTTCCTGTCTTCAGTTCTGGGGAAAGGGGCTGAGCCCTTTTATTTTCTCTTTACTTCCCCCTCGCTTTTCTCCCGACTTCTGCCTCACTCTTCCCAGAAACAAAAAATGGCTTCCCCTCCCTACAGCTGCTACGACGACATCTGCCCCCGGAAGACCAGAGGCTAACCAAACAGTACTTCCGGAGCAAGTGAACGCCCCCACGCTCACCCCACCCCCCCACCCCGGTCAGCAATCTACCTCTTCCCGTTAGTGTTTCACTGTGGGGATTGTTGGTTCTGCTTTTGTTTTCTTTTTTGTTTTCTCCACAATGAACTGGGTGTTCTTCTAGTCGCTCCTAGTCTGTGAGGTCGGAACGGGGACAACCGCGCTTCCCGCTCACCCAGGCTCTCCACATTCTGTGACTTCGCTAGCTTCCACACCTCATCCATTGCTTTTCTTAACAGTCGGCCAGGCTTCTAGCGCGCGCGGAGGGAGGGAGGGAGGGAGGGAGGGAGGGAGGGAGGAGGGAGAACTGCAGATCTTGACTGGGACCTGGGGGGGACCCCACCGGATTCGATCCGCGTTAGTCTTAGTAATCCCCTCGCTCGTTGGCCAGCAACCGCGCCACCCCGTCACACACAGCCCGCTCGCCCACGACAGAGCCCGCCGAACGCGAACCTGGCTGGGGCCCCGCCTCGCGGCCCGCGGCCCCGCCCACCGATGCCTTCTTACAGCGAGCCGACGGGGCGTAGCCGCGCGGTGACGTCACGGGAGGCGCCCGGCGTAGGCGAAGCCTCTTTTTGAATCTAGTTGGCGGGAGTTGCGGGTGCAGTGCGAGCTGGACGGCTATGGAGCCCACCTCAGGGAGTGAGGAGAACGCAGGAGGCGCGGCGACAGACGAGTGCGTGAATAAGATCCCGGTGCCAAGACCACCCTCCATTGAGGAGTTCACCATAGTGAAGCCCATTAGCCGTGGTGCATTCGGGAAAGTGTACCTGGGACAGAAAGGCGGCAAGTTGTACGCAGTGAAGGTAGGAAGTCTAGAAGGCAGAGGGTCTTAGACGGTCTCCCCTGCTGACCTCCTTCCTGCGTTGTTGGACTGGCTCTGGGGCTGCTGGGGCACTAGGCTGGATGGCCCTGCTTGCGGGAGCTTGCGCAGTCCTGCGTGCGGACCGCCGCCTAGGGCTGACTGCAGCGAGCAGGTGTCTGTCCTTTGCCTTATCCTGCCCCTCTTTCCTGTATCCTAAGAATCACCACCCAGTGATAATAGCAAAACTTACCCAGTGTTAACAAATGAGAAAACTGAGGCTAAACGTGAAGAGACTTGAAATCACAGCCGTGATTCCTGAGCCGTTTTAAAACCCAAAAAGGTCTTAAGTACCTGTTGGTTATGGTTTCCTTGTTTGCTTTGACATACGGAGTTTTGCCAGCACAAACATGATTGGCTTGTAGACGCTAACGTCAAATCCCACTGGTACCAAGAGAAAGCTGCATTGTATTAAATTTTTTGTTCTGACATTTATGTTGTGACATGTTTATAGTATTTTTTATTTTACATGGCATCTGGATTTTTGTTTTGCCTTCTTTTTAGCCAACTTGGGCTTCGCCAGGATTAAGTTTGGTACTTTCATTAAGCTTGTAATAGTTACAGATTATGCTTTAATTCCATTCCTTTGATAATAGACTAATAGGCAGGAGCAAGGATCTCGTTAAACCTCATTTTTGCTTTTCGAATTTTCTACAGTGATACCTAGATTTTAAGATCATTATACAGCAAGTAGAAAGAAATGTGTTGTAAATCAAGCCTTTGTTAGCTGTAATGTTAAAAACAGTCATATGCACTTAAAATTCTGTCTGCTCTTGCTTCTCAGCCACTCCTGGACTTTCATATTACTCACATTTCGGGAACTAGTGAAAATAACAAAGAGAAGCAGACTGTTGCCCAATTCAGATTTCTAGTATGCAGTGCTTGCTGGCACACGGGGTAAGCAGTTGTCTTCAGCCAACTGCCTGAAGGCTGGCTTGCCTGTATTCCCTCTCTCCCTTTAATAGCACCAACTTCATTCCTACCGTTCAGGCTAGAAACTTAAGGCATGTTAACTTTCTTATATTTCATCCATATAGCATATCTTTTAAACGTCCCTGTTCTCCCTCTGGAAGGCATTTTATTTATTTGTTTATTTTTAATTTTCATTCCCAAATGAAAATTATGTTCAGACCCTCATTTCTTACCACTTATTTGTTTCTAAAAGTTCAGGTCAATGATGATTTTAGTAAATTATATAGTTGTGTGATACTCATCACAATCCAATTTTAAGGATAGTTCCATAGCCCAGGAAAATGACCATTTCTGCCTATTAATGCCTCTTCCCTTAATACATCAGCAGATAACTACTACCCCTTAGCCCTTCTCTCCCCTCTCCTCTCTCTCTCTGACCCAAATTTGTCCCAAATAGCCTTAGACTCATGATGTAGCTGAGGCTGGCTTGCTTTGAACTGCGGATGCCCCTTACTCTGTTTACCTATGCCCGATGTACTAACATGCTCTGTGCACCAACTCACTTTATGTCTCTGCAAGGTTGCTTTTTCTAGACATTTTAAAGCAATGGAATCATACTCTGTATGGTCTTTTGCATCTTTTTTTTTCTTTTTTTTAATTGCCTGGTGGTTTAAGTTTTATCAGGCCTTCATTTCTATATCTAGTTGATTGGAATAGTCCCCTAAATAGAATCATTATTTTTTTTAGAACTTTTATTTAAATTAGAAACAATCTTATTGTGCATATCAATCCCAGTTCCCTCTCCTTCCCATCCTCCCATGTCCCCCCATCAACCACCCATCCCACCCCTCCACCCACTCCCCAGGGAGGGTGGGACCTCCCATGGGGGATCATCAAGGTCTGTGAGATCTTTTGGGGCAGGGCCTAGACCTTCCCCCATGTATCTAGGCTGAGAGAGTATCCCTCCATGGGGAATGGGCTCCCAAAGCCCACTCGTGCACTAGGGATAAATACTGGTTCCACTGACAGAGGCCCTATAGACTGCCCAGGCCTCCCAACTGACCACATTCAGGGGGCCTGGTTTGGTCCTGTGCTGGTTTCCCAGCTGTAGAATCATTATTTTTATTCTTAATACATTCTTAGGCTGTGTCATATAGGCCAAAATCCAGAGTCCTTAGAAAGGCAGTCATGTTCCCAATTTTTGGCCCTAGATCTCTACTGTGTCTTCCACATAGCATATGTTCTAGCAACACCCAGACAGCTAACTGGTCCCTCAAAGCCTTGAATTATTTTTCCTGCCTTAAAACTTGTTTATTCTGGCTCTTCCTTACCTGCTTTTGCTCTAGCTTTCTCTGCTTTTTACCCATTGTTTTCTGTTAAGGTTCACCTAATTCCCCTGAAAACGTCTCTGATCTTCTAAACTCAACTCATTAAAATTGTTTATTGTTGCCAAGATATTTGCTTTTCATTCTGTTAACACCTCAAGTAGTCTTTAATTGTTGATCTTGAAAATACCAATTAATCTGCCGGGCTGTGGTGGCGCACGCCTTTAGTCCCAGCACTCGGGAGGCAGAGGCAGGCGGATCTCTGTGAGTTCGAGGCCGGGCTGGACCGATAGCCTCCGAAACAATACAGAGAAACCCTGTCTCGTAAAAACCAAAAAAAAAAAAAAAGAAAGAAAGAAAGAAAAAAAGAAAAGAGTTTGGCAATATTCCTTCTGTTTCTATTGTGTGGAACAATTTGAAGAGTGTCAGTAATTTACTGTACTGAACCATCTGGGCCTGGGCTATTTTTAGTTGGGAGATTTTTTTTTTTTAAATAGAGAGGCTCTAAAGGAGTTTATTTTGAAGAATACCTAGTATACATGAGAGATAACTCTATGTTAATAGAACTTTCTTCCTATAAGACACATGCTATTACATTTTCTTTCTATTAAGCTAACTTCTTTCTAGCCGGGCATGGTGTTGCACACCTTCTGTCCCAGCACTCAGGAGACAGAGGCAGGAGGATCTCTGTGAGTGATCAGTCTATTATATGTAATGGGATAACAAATTGTAGAACCTGTTATCACTTTTGATGGATAGTGACAAGACTGAAGCAAGTATATAGCTGTTAAGAGAAGCTTTTTCTTTGAGAGGAGCCTTCTCACCCGCCTGGTTCCAGAGCCGCTTTCCCGCCAGCCTGGTTCTAGATCCGCATCAGTCCCAAATAAACACACAGGAGGCTATATTAATTATGAAGCTGTTGGCCTTGCTTGTCTCTTACTGGCTAGCTCTGCTTTAAGTAATTACCCCATAATTGTTAATCTAAGTATGTCTCTTACCGGAGAATAGTTCTGGGCTCCTACCCCCATGGCGGTTACATGTTGACTCTCGTGTTTCTCCTTCCCAGAATCCTCCTGGACTCCTAGCCCCACCTATCTAGATTTCTATTGGCCAGCAGTAATTTATTAACATATACACAGGACTTCCCCAACATCTCCTTTTCTGTTTAAACAAAAAGAAAGGTCTTAACTTTAACATAGTCAAATTGTATATGACAGAACAGTTATCAAGTAAGAACACAGTTACAACATTTTATCTATTAACATTTAGCAAGATCTAAAGAAAATATCATCCATCCCATCCTTGTGAGTCCAAAGTCCTATATGTAGCTTATCTTTTATCATAACTAAGGAAAACTATAATTATAACTATCTGTCTTCAACTCCATCAAAGACCACAGAAGGATAATATATAAACACTAGGATTGACAGAGGCATCTTACTGCCTGGACAGTCACCCGAAGTTCCTCTGTAACGTTGGGGCATCCATCTTCAGCCCATAGGCCAAAATGTGTCTGGAACACTTCTCAGCAAAGCAGGAAATTTCAAACTGACCATCTGCATTGACAGTCTATCATTCATTTTTCTTTGTCCTGCAGAAAGTCTCGCGGACTCTTCCATGAAGCAGGAACCCTGTAAGACTGAGTTCAGCATTCACTTTCCTGTGGGTCCCGCATGTCCAGTTTATACAGCAACAGTCAGTCTAGGCAAGAACAGTTTCTTGCCCAAATGGCTAATCTTGCCATGTTGAAAGCAAACTCCATAACGAGTTTCTTCGATGCCCATTTTCCTCTCATAATTGGTGCTGCCAGGAGCAGACATTTCTCATTGTCAAGAAAAACCCTAAACCATTTTAAATGCCATTTTCTGAAGGTCTTTGAAAGGTTTGAAGACTATTTATCTGTCTCAAATACATCTCTATCTATCTAGAAAACCTAACTTACCTAACTGTAAATTCTGACTATTGTAAGTAACTATCTATAATCTGTATTCAATTATGCATTACATTTTAAAAGATCAGTATAAGCACAATACTTAATCAAGAGGAGAAATATACATATTACATATCACAAAATTGATCTTGAATTTGTCTCAATAAATGAAAAACCAATACCCATACCATAATTCCCTTTTTTACCATTAAAAAGATTGGCTGTGATCATTGGCCAATTATAAACAACCCCATTTAAATGAAAACAAAGATTTATAAACAAGATGGGAATTAGGACGTCGCTCATTCCAAACTGCTTCATGCTGGAAGGGGGCGCTGTTCATACTATGGGGATCATGACAAAACTCAGAAACCTGTATAAGTCCGTATTTTCTGGGTCTATAAAGCTCCATCATCTTAGCTGTCTCAATTGTTGGAACATCTGGTCCACTGCTTCCGGGGGTCTTGGTTCGTCAAACCACAGAAGCCTGGAAGAAATCCTCAGCTTTTTTTTTTTTCCCAGTTTAAATTTAGATAAGAAACGAGGTTGCTTCACAAGTCAGTTCCAGGTCCCTCTCCCATTCCCTCCCCTCCTCCCGTGCCCTCCCCTCAACTCCCCCATTATCCCCTCATTCCCCCAGGGAGGGCCTCACCCTCCCTGGGGGTGTCCATAGTCTGTCATTTCATATAGGGCAGGGCCTAGACCCTTCTAGTTGGGAGATTTTTAATGACTGCTTCTATTTCTTTAAGGGTAATAAGTCTATTTAAATTGTTTATCTGGTCTTGATTTACTTTTTGTATGTGGTACCTATCCAGAAAATTATCCATTTCTTTTAGATTTTCCAAATTTATGGAGTAAAGGTTCTTAGAGTATGACCTAATGATTCTCTGGATTTCCTCAATGTCTGTTGTTATGTCCCCCTTTTCATTTCGGATTTTGTTAATTTGGATATTCTCTCAGCCTCTTAGCCTTTGGTTGGTTTGGATAGGGGTTTGTCTATCCTGTTGATTTTCTAAAAAAAAAAAAAAAAAACAAAACAACTCTGTTTCATTGATTCTTTGTATTGGTATTGTTCTCTTTTGTTTCTATTTTATTGATTTCAGCCCTCAATATGATTATTTCCTATCATCAACTCCTCCTGGGTAAGTTTGCTTCTTTTTGTTCTAGAGCTTTCAGGTGTGCTGCTAAGTCCCTAGTGTGGGATTCCTCCAATTTCTTAATGTAGGCACTTATTGCTATGAATTTTCAGCACTGCTTTCATTGTGTCCTATAGGTTTGGATATGTTGTGCCTTCATTTTCATTGAATTGTAGGAAATCTTTAATTTCTTTCTTTATTCCTTCCTTGACCTGGTGGTATTTCAGATGAGCATTATTCAGTTTCCATGAGTTTGTAGGCTTTTTGCTACTAGTGTCGTGCATTCTTACTTTAAGCCATGATGATCCAATAAGATACAAGAGATTATTCCAATTTTTTTTTTATCTGTTGAGACTTGTTTTGTGACCAAGTATGTGGTCAGTTCCATGGGGTGTTGAGAAGAAGGTATATTTTTTTGTGTTTGAGTGAGATGTTCTATAGATGTCTGTTAAACCCATTTGAGTCATAACGTCTGTTAGTTCCCTTATTTCTGTGTTAAGCTTCTGTCTGCCTGATTTGTCCAGCAGTGAGAGTGGACTGTTGACATCTCCCACTATTAGCGTATGAGGTTTTATGTGTGATTTAAGCTTTAGTAATGTTTCTTTTACAAATGTGGGTGCCCTTGTATTTGGTGCATAAATGTTCAGAATTGAGACTTAATCTTTTTTTTTATTTTATGTGCATTGATATTTTTACCAAGCGAGTCAGGTCCCCTGGAACTGGAATTAGACAGTTGTGAGCTGTCATGTGGTTGCTTGGAATTGAACCCAGGTCCTCTAGAAGAACAGTCAGTTTCTTAACCACTAAGCCATCTCTCCAGCCCAAGTCTTAATCTTGATTCATTTTTCCTGCAACAAATACAAAATATCCTTCTTTATCTCATTTGACTATTCTTAGTTTGAGGTCTAATTTATTAGATATTAGGATAGCTACACCAACTTGTTTCTTGGGTCCATTTGATTGGAAAATCTTTTCCCAACCCTTTACTCTGAGATAACGTCTGTCTTTTGAAGTTGAGGTGTGTTTCTTGGCAGCAGAAGGATGGCTTCTGTTTTTGTATCCATTCTATTAACCTGTGTCTTTTGGATATTAATGACCAGTGATTGTTAATTCCTAGTTTTTGTTTTGTGGTGGTGGTGGTGGTGGTGGTGGTGGTGGTGGGTGTGTGTGTGTGTGTGTGTGTGTGTGTGTGTGTGTGTGTGTGTACACGCGCGTGTTCTCACACACATGTGCTTCCCTTCTGGATTTGCTGGTGTGAGATTATCTATTTCCTGTGTTTTCATGGGTGCAACTTACTTCCTCGGGTTAGAGTTTTCCTTCTAGTACTTTCTTTTCTGTAGGGCTGGATGTTTCAGTAGGTATTGTTTAAATCTGGTTTTGTCATGGAATAGCTTGTTTTCTCTGTCTATAGTGATTGAAAGTTTTGCAGGGTATAGTAGTCTGGGCTGATCTCTTTCGTATCTGCAAAATGTCTGTCCAGGACATTCTGGCTTTCAGAGTCTGCACTGAGAAGTCCAGTATTACTCTGATAGGTCTGCCTTTATATGTTACTTGACCTTTTTCCTTGGCATCTCTTAATAGATAGTCTTTCTTTACTCTGTATGTTTAGTGTTTTATTTTTAGGTCTGGGTCTCACGATGGTGGGGACAGACCACCAAAGTCTATTAAACCAGAAGCAAGCTTTATTCCAGAAAAAGAAAATCACTAATGGGCACAAAAGCTTATCTTCTGCAGCTGAGACCACAGCCAGAGTTTAGACTCCTGAAACTGTGGCTGCCAGGATGTCTGCTCTTAAGTCAGAAAGTGATTGTTAAAGGTTAACAGTGGCTGAGATTCTTTTTTCTCCTTTTTTTTGTTTGTTTGTTTGTTTGTTTTTCGAGACAAGGTTTCTCTGTAGTGTTTTAGAGGCTGTCTTGGAACTCACTCTGTAGACCAGGCTGTCCTCGAACTCACAGAGATCCACCTGACTCTGCCTCCCAAGTGCTGGGATTAAAGGTGTGTGCCACCAACGCCCAGCAACGCCTGAGATCTTTCTTCTGTCTCTTGCATTCTTTTGGATATACTTACATTTGTAGTCCCTGTTCCTTTACCCAGATTTTCCATTTCCAGAAAATCCTCAGTTTGTGGTTTTCTGTTTGTTCGTTTGGTTTAGTTTGGTTTGGTTGGTTGTTTTTTTTGGGGGGGGGGGGGGGTATTTTGAGACAGGGTTTCCCTGTGTAGCTTTGGAGGCTGTCCTGGAACTAGCTTTTGTAGACCAGGCTGGTCTCAAACTCACAGAGATTCACCCACCTCTGCCTCCCAAGTGCTGGGATTCAAGGTGTACGCCACCACTGCCTGGCCCAGTTTGTGTTTTCTTTATTGCCTCTGTTTCAGTGTTCATGTCTTGAACTGTTTCCTTCACCTGTTTGATTGTTGTTTAGGTTTTTTGTTTGTTTTGGTTTTTTTCTTGGCTTTCTTTAAGGGATTTATTGATTTCTTCCAACTTTTTGTTTGTCTTTTCCTCCATTTCTTTAAGGAAATTTTTTATTTCCTCTTTAAGGGCCTCTGTCATCTTCATGAAGTTATTTTTAAGGTTGTTTTCTTCTGCTTAGTCTGTGTTGGGATGTCCAGGTCTTGCTGTTACAGAACCACTAGGTTCTGGTGCTGCCATATTGCTCTTTATGTTGTTGGATGTATTCTTACACTTCTTTTGCCCATCTGTTGATTCTTCCTCCAATCAGTGTGGCTGGTGTCTGTCTCTGGGGGGGCCTCTGCTAGGTGGGGGAAGGACATGGGATATTCCCTCGGGGTACAGGCCTAGAGACCAGGGCTTTCCAGTAGCAAAACCAGTTGCTTGCCCCTTCCTCCCATTGGTCCTGGCAGAGCCTGTGCCTCCAGGACATCTACTGACCAGCTCCAGTTTAATCTGGAAGCTCAGTAGAAGGAAGTCTCATTCCCCTCCCTGGGGATCTGGGATGGAGGACATGGGTGATGTTGTTCTTGATACTCTCAGCTAGGCAGAGGTCTCCCAGTTCCCAAGCCCCCAACCCTCTTGGTTAAGCTAGAGTTTATCATGTATTAGTCATTTTATTAAACCAAGGAGGCAAAGCTAGAATTTTATTAAATTTATTAATCATTTTATTAAACACTTGAATGAATGCTTTATTTATAATAAGCTTTGATACCAGTGGGTATTTTTCATGTTTTCCTTAATTCTTTTAAAATTATATGATCCCATTGTTACTATTTCATCTAATGCTCCTTTGGGCTTGGGGGTCAAGACAGGGTTTCACTGTGGCTTTCACTGGCTTAGAACCTCGCTCATTAGACCAGGCTGACCTGGAACTCACAGAGACCCACCTGTCTCTGCCTCCCAAGTGTTAGGATTAAAGGCGTGCACCACTACCACCTGGCTCTGATGCTCCGATTTTAATGTATAGTTTTGTTTCTATACCAGTTAACTTAGAAGGTGTAATTTGGCCAGAGGTGATGGTACACACCTGTGAGGTGGAGGTGGGAGGGTTGGGAGTCAAGGGCTACATAGTAAATTCAAGGCCAGCCTAAGATTCATAAGGATGAGGATATAGCTAAGATTTTGATGGGTTTTTTTATTTCTCTATTTTATATGTATGAGCATTTTGCCTGAATATGTGTATGTATAAAATATGCATACCTGGTACCTAGGGAGACCACAAGAGGATGTGGATTCTCAACTAGAGATCCAGATGGTTGTGAGACACCATACGGGTGTTGGGAACCAAGCTCAGGTCCTCCATAAGAGCAACAAGTACTTTTAGCCACTCAGCAGTGTCTCTGGCCCCCAACATTTTTACTCTATTCCCTCCTATCAAAGAATAATTATGTGAGCCGGGTGTTGGTGGTGCACACCTTTAATCCCAGCACTTGGGAGGCAGAGGCAGGCGGATTTTGGGGATTTCAAGGCCAGCCTGGTCTACAGAGCGAGTTAGGACAGCCTTCAAAGCAATACGGAAAAACCCTGTCTCAGAAAACAAAACAAAACAAAAGACAAAGAATAATTATGTGTATGTAAGTGTGAGGTGTGAGGCATATGTGTGGATACCTGTAGAGGTCAAAGTATTATAGATCCCTTGGAACTGGAGTCACAGGCAGGCATTTGTCAGTTTTCTGACATGGCTACTGGGAATTGTTTTCGGATCCTCTGGCAAAGTAATACACATTGTTAACCACCAGACCATCCCTAAACATTTATACTTTATTCCTCTTTGTTAAAGTATAAGAAGCTAAAATGTATATGTTTATGAATAAACATATATTACTATTCATCTAACCAGCTTCCTAGTTATTGTGTGGGATTACAGGCAACATTATTACCTTTTGACCTGTTATAATAAAGCTTTCCTACAAACATACAGATTAGTCAGAAAGTGTTTAATTCCTTTTCTTAAAAACATGGTACTTTCGCTGTTTAATCCAAAGGCAAACATTGTTATCTTAAAAATGTTTTCTTTGTTTTAGCACCTAAGATATTTTTTCTGGCAGTTTCCTCATACTGGTCAAATCTAAATGACATCTATAATCTTTATCTTTCTTGGTGTTTTTATGATGGTAACTTTGAAACTTTTGAATACTTTGTAATAAGAAAGAGGGTAAATGTGTTGTCATCTTATCTGTTATAGGTTGTCAAAAAAGCAGACATGATCAATAAAAATATGACTCATCAGGTCCAAGCTGAGAGAGATGCACTGGCACTGAGCAAAAGCCCTTTCGTTGTGCATTTGTATTACTCACTGCAGTCAGCAAGCAATGTCTACTTGGTGAGTAAACAGCTTATACTCCCTGTGTTAACTCTGCAGTCATGGAACCCAGTGATCTAACAGCACAGGGTCTCTGTTTAGCATACTTGCATTTAAATTATGCTCTCCTACATACAAGTTTAATGACGTTGACCAACTTAAATGTTGCTTTAGTGAGAGTTTTCCAAAGCAAAAGAATCAATGGGATATGTTGTATATATGTAGAGACACAGAAAGAGGGATTTGTTTTAAGGAATCTGTTCAACTCTTAATTGATTGGCAAACCAAACTACAAGGTAGATGGTTATTCTAGAGACTGATGAAGGATTAATACTGCCATCTAAAGGCAGACTTCCCTTTACTTTTAGGATTTTAGTCTTTTCTCCTGTTAATAGCCTTCAACTGATTGTTTGAAGGCTATTGGCATTATGAGGGAATATGTGCTTTATCAAAGTCTGCTGATTTAAATGTTAACCTCGTCTAAAGAATACTTTAGATGAGGTATAAAAAACGATAACTGGGCCAGGCGTTGGTGGCGCATGCCTTTAATCCCAGCACTCAGGGCAGAGGTAGGCGGATCTTTGTGAGTTCGAGACAAGCCTGGTCTACAAGAGCTAGTTCCAGGACAGCCTCCAAAAACCACAGAGAAACCCTATCTCGAAAAACCAAAAAAAAAAAAAAAAGACCAGAGAGTGCACGTGCACTCAATAAGGTCAAGGAGAGCCCCTTCAGATATGTCTAAGTTATAAAATAGTGTGAAATAGCATTCTGTTCTTCAGGTGATTCACTGTAATATAATGAATACCAAATAGAAGAGAACTGACTTTCCATCTTCCAAGCTAGTGGTTACAAACCAATGTGACCCACAACCATATCTGGCTGTTATGAGCTAAGAAGAGCATTTGCATTCCTCTTTTCCTAAGCCCTGGGTTCAGTCCCCAGTACCACATAAACCAGGTATGGTGGTATGCATATTCATTTAATCCTAGCCCTGAGAAGGTAGAGGCAGGAGGATTAGGCATTCAAGCTACTTTGAGGCCACCCTGGATATAGAAGACTCTGCTTGCTGGGGGAGTATATTGAAAAAAAAATTTTTAAAGACTATTTTTGGAAATTGGGGTAGCTCAGTGGGTAAATAGTTCTTGCTGCACACCCATGAGGGACCTAAGTTCAAATTCCTAGAGCCTATAATAATCTGAGTGTGATCATAGATGCCCCTATAATACCAGTGCTATAGGGTCACAAAAACAAATATCACTGAGACTTGCTGCCCACCAAACTAGCTCCAGATTCGGTGAGAGACCTTGTCACAGAGAAAAAGACAGGGATAGAATAGTATTCCTAATGTCCTCTGGCCCCAATGAACACACTGTATACCATACAACATCAAGAAAAGACTTTGTCTGATACTTGGAAATTACAGTGAAATTTTAATTTCAGTCAGTAGGTAAAGTTTTATTGGAACCTAACCACATCCTTTTGTTACCGACATCTTCAGAAGTGTTAAAATGCCAGAGTAAAACAGTTGTAATAGAATCCCACAAAATCACCGGGCGGTGGTGGTGCACGCCTTTAATCCCAGCACTCGGGAGGCAAAGGCAGGCAGATCTCTGTGAGTTCGAGGCTGGGCTGGACCGACAGCCTCAAACAATACAGAGAAACCCTGTCTCGTAAAAACCAAAAAAAAAAAAAAAAAAAAATCCCACAAGATCCAAATATTTATTTTGTGGCTCTTCACAGAAAAAAAAAGGTAATATCCTTGAATGCTATGTCCAAAGAAGGTAGGAAAGTTGTCATGTTAGTTGTCATGTTAATAACTGGGACCAGATGTTTCTAGGTTGTCGGCATCTTGCTCCAAGAATTGAAGAAATTCACACAAATAGCAAAGTTTTATTCAAAGGCACAGTGAATGTGGAGTTTAGATAGCAAAAAAAGAATAGCAGATGCTGAGAAATTTGCTCCAAAGCACCAAGTTATTGCCTGGGACTTCCAAAAGGAAGAGGAGGAGTTAATTTCTAGGGGAGGGGTATGGGTAATTTTCTGTTTGATTGATAAGCTTGGGTTATGTAAACTTTTGCCTACTGAGCATGCCGTTTCCTGTGATGCATTCGATTTTAATTACATACATGCCCAATTATGCATAGGCAGAAGGTAATATAGTTGTTTTCCTGTAGAAGTCAATGTTTAAAACATGGATTGTCAGCCGGGCGTTGGTGGCGCACGCCTTTAATCCCAGCACTCGGGAGGCAGAGGCAGGTGGATCTCTGTGAGTTCGAGGCCAGGCTGGACCGATAGTCTCCAAAACAATACAGAGAAACCCTGTCTCCTAAAAACCAAAAAAAACAAAAAAACAAAACAAAACATGGATTGTCTTACTGCACCAGTGTAGACTGTACTGGCCCACCACCTCTGGTTTCAGGATAAGTTTCAAGATGTGTTTGGCCACAAATAAAGAGCTCATAAGGATTGCTAGAAAGGTATAGATCAAGATGACCTCATTTGTTTGGAGAGGGGTTGTACATCCTGCTAAATACAGATATGATCCTGGGTTGGTTAGCTATATCTATGCTTGCCTGCCTCTACTTAATCATTTGATTCTTCCTGAGGCCTTCAAATGCCTTTATAGCATCCTGTTTTACATGTATATATGTAAAATACATGACTATGTCTCTGTTATTGACCCTGATTTAACTCGTTGGTAGCCAGTAGCTTCCAATCCTATTAAAACAGTAGGTGATAGATGTGATTATTCAACATAATAGTTTTTTGTTCTCACTCAAGAATTGCTGTAATAATTAAGTAGCTATAATATTTTTATTTTATCTGTTTGTTTTTGGTTTATTGTTTATATGTGGTACTGGGGTCCTACACATGCTAGGGTTATTTTTGTTTATTCTAGACACTTAATAACAGGCATCTCTTACCTATCCAACTTTACTACTGATTTAAATCTTGGTACTCAAAATGTGATCCATAGACAAACAATGGTAACACTATCTAGGGGTTTATTAGAGACCCAGAGGCCTGAAGATATAGCTCAGTGGTAGAATGTTTGTCTAAGATCCTCAAGGCCCAGGGATTAGTCCCCAAGTGGGGCTAACGGGTGCTCAAAAGGAAAACAAAAACTCAAACTTATCTAATTATTAGTCTCATCTCACAGCTATCAACAAAAAGGACTGTATGACTTCTGTATTTATGCCAGATATTCATAAATGAATCAAATCATGAGGAAATAATCAAGTAGCCTCAAATTAAAAAGCTTCCTTTTGAAAACACACCTGTTATCTTCAACATTGCTTTTATCATGGAAGATGCATGCTGAAAATTTGCTCCAGATTAGAGGAATCTAGGGATATAACAACAAAGTGCCTTGTTTTATGGCTTGTGAGTGGGGAGTGGGCACAGGAACTATAAAGGACAATGCTGAGATGGTCGTATAAATATAAATATACTACATATTAGAATTTTATCGCTGTATTCTTACATAAGATGCCTTATTCAGGAGTTGACACCTGATGAGCATTACACTCATTATCATTAGTGATGGATGTAGAAGGACCCCGTTCATTGTGGGTGGTGCTATGAGAAAGCAGGCTGAGCGAGCCCATGAGGAGCAAGGCAGTAAACAACATTTCTTTATTGCCTGTGCATCAGCTCCTATCTCCAATCTTCAGCTTCTTTTAGTGGACTGTGACTCAGGACATATAAGCCCAAAAAAAACCCTTTCTTCCCCAAGTTGCTTTTGGGTATGGTGTTTCATTACAGCAGTAGAAACATATATTAACATCTATACTCTAATAAATTAGTATAATTATTTTATATGAATGTCTTTTTGTTTAGATTAAGCTTTTTAATTTAAAAAATTAAAATAACCTCAGCAAACTTGGTATTAATATGTAATATTGCTTCTGAGATAGGAATCTTAATATGCTGTTCAGCTAGTCTTGAACTCCTGGGTTCCACAGACTCTTTTGCCTTCATTTCTTTCACAGCTATGATCAATCAAGCACACACCACTGTACCTGTCAAGTGTGTTACTTTTTGCTGACTAACTGGATAATAAAATTTAGAAGTTAATGAACTGTACCTGAAGCTTCTGTTTTGAGACAGTTTTCCTCTGTACACCTGGCTGACCTTGAGAGGCCAGGATTGGTGATGTATACCTATCATCCTAGTACTTGGAAAACTGAGGCAGAAAAATGATAAGTTCAATGTAATAAGTGATACAAAAAAAATATGTTTTATATTGTAACTATTCTAAAAAATAAAACTGTAATCCCCAAACACTATATATTTCAAGTATATTGTTTTTAAAGTATATTCTTTTTTGATAGGTAATGGAATATCTTATAGGTGGAGATGTCAAGTCTCTCCTACATATATATGGTTATTTTGATGAAGACATGGCTATAAAATATATTTGTGAAGTAGCATTGGCTTTAGATTACCTGCATAGACATGGAATCATCCACAGGTAAGACTGATTGTTATGTATATTATTACGTAAAACGTATTGTTTGAATCTTTAATATATGCAAAAACTACTTGCTCGTGTTTCTAGTTTCCCTACAGCTCAGTTGTAATGTGCATTTAGAGAGTACATTGGCTCTTGTTTAATCTCCCTATATTTTGTTAAATGTTGCTTTGGACATAAACATTACATCTTAATGTGAAGATTATGAATCTCTTTCTACTCCCATACCATCATACAAAAGTAATAAAAGACTTTGTGGTCTCAGCTGATATGCAACTTTTCTCTGTTCAGAGAAAGGCTCAATGGCTCTGCTCTGTTAAAATTTAACCATTCTTTGCTTTAAAGGGGCAGATATAAATTTGAACTGACTGGTGAATAAAATATCTAAAAATAATACCAAACAGAATCTAGTATTGAATCATATAAATTTTTGTAGATTCTTGATATGTAATAAAATGATTTTGAGAGCTATTTTCTGGGTCTTTTGGAGCCACTCATAAGAAATTTTATTTTAAAGGAATAATTAGGTTTCCTCTTATAATTCCCCCAACCCCATGTGGTATTTTTAGCATCAAAGCTACTTTTTCAGTATCTATTTGCCTTTTGTATGTTCAGGGATTTGAAACCAGACAATATGCTTATTTCCAATGAGGGTCATATCAAGCTGACAGATTTTGGCCTTTCCAAAGTTACTCTGAATAGAGGTAAGAATAATGGCAGGTAAGTGCCAACTTCAGACATTCTATTTCATTAACTTTTTCTTGTTAATTTACATTAGATAAAATGTGATGGCTATTCTGTAATATGCTAGAAATAAGTATGTAATGTTCTTTCCCCCATTAAAAGGGGCTTTGGGGTCTGTGCCAGAACACAATGTTTGCTTAGCTGGATCTGATCTTAGCACAAAAAAAAAAGGAAGAAGAAAGAAGAAGAAAAGAAAAAAGATCTTTTTTTTTTTTTTTTTTTTTTTTTTTGGTTTTTTGAGACAGGGTTTCTCTGTGGCTTTGGAGGCTGTCCTGGAACTCGCTTGTTAGTCCAGGCTGGTCTCGAACTCACAGAGATTCGCCTGCCTCTGCCTCCCGAGTGCTGGGATTAAAGGCGTGCGCCACCAACGCCCGGCTGAAAAAAAGATCATTCTTGAATCTTGAAAGGTCCTTAAAACACCTTAGATCTTTAAAATGGAGTGAGCAGCTGCTGTTGTCTTTGCCCTTGCTGAAACAGGATGAAGAGCTAAACATACACAAAATGACTTAACTGTAATGAGGCAGATCTTCAGATACTTATGCAAATACATCCTGCCACCACCAAAACCTTGGTAGATACAACTCATTTACATAGATGGAAATAAGTTCATTTCTGAATAGTAATGTTTCAAATGCTCATAAAAAACAACAAATCAACCATTTATACTATTAATACCACAAAGGAATACTGATCCATGAAAAAACTATAAAAATAAAGCACACTGTTGTTCTAAAGAGATTATATCTTGGCTTAGTGCTTTCAAAAGAAAAATTATCTATGTTTTAAGAGAACAAAAGATTGTGCTCCCTTCAGCAGCACATATACTAAAGTGGAACAATACAAAGAAGATTAGCATGGGATGACATGCAAATTCATGAAACATTCCATATTTTTATGTAAAAAAAATAGTTAAAAAGAGAAAAAGCAAAAAGAAAACAAAATATTTTAATTCTCTCTGATTTTGTGTGGAGATTTTTAGAAGAGGGTATAATAACAAAGGTTTATACAGCATAGGTTGACCTCAAAGAAGTTATGAAGCCAAAAATTAACCATGAACACTTGCCTACCCCTCACAAGTGCTGGGATTATAGACATATGCCACTGTATCAGATTTGACGTTTTGATTTCTCAATACTAGAGATTGAACTCAGGCCTATTGTATGCTAAGCAAGCATTCTGACACTAAGCTAAATTCCTAGCCTATTGATCTTATGTTTTAGAATTTATTCTAAGGCAATGAGTCTAGAGAACAAAATGTAAATGAATAAAGTGATTTGCAGTACCATTGTATAATAAATTGAAAGAAGACATTACTTAAATTCATCACAGAATCATGGAAAGATGATAAATTACCATCTTGAAAGTAGAGTAGATTCTCTATTAAGAAGTGTAGAAGGGGCTGAGCGGTGGTGGCACATGCCTTTAATCCCAGCACTTGGGAGACAGAGGCAGAAGGAGGATCTGGGAGTTTGAGGCCAGCCTGGTCTACAGAGTGAATTCCAGGACAGCCAGGACTGAGATGGCTCAGCAGTTATGAGCATTTGCTTCAGTTCCCAGCACTGGCTTCAGGTGGTTCACAGCAGTTTGTAATCCAGCTCCAGGGTATTTGATGCCCTCTTCTGGTCTCCATAAGTGCACACATATACTTGGGATTGCATACACACAAACATCCATGTACACAAAAATAAAAACAAATCTTTTTTTTTGAAAGTATAGATGAGGAAGGCAGAGGGAAGATGTAAAACTAATGCTGGGGGAGAGGAAGGAAGAAGAATAAAGTATAACAACACAATGTGTGAAAATGCTGTGATGAAACCCAGTCTTTTCTGTGCTAATCTAAGACTTAACAAACAAAAAATGAAAGCTAAAGAAAAGAGGGCTACACATGACTCTGAGGCAGTATGCTTGCTTAGCATATACAGGGGCCCTAGATTTGCCTTCCAGCAACACAGATACACAACGAAAAGGTAGAATATTTTTGGTTTTGCTTATCATTGTGTGTATGTGCATGCTATGGAGTGGAGGCAGATGTGGAGGTCAAAGGACAACTTTGTGGAGTGAGTTCTGTCCTTCCACCTTTACTTACATTCCAGGGATCAAACCTCAGGTCAACCAGGCTTGGGAGTTGAATGCCTTTACCCACTGAGCCATCTCACTGGCCCTTGTTTTTGGATTTTTGAAGCGGTTCTTGTTCTATAGCCCTCACTAACCTGGGATTCACTATATAGACAAGGCTGGCCTTGAACTTGTGATGATCTTCCTGTCTCTGCTTCTGCCTCCTGAGCCCTGGGATATAGGCATGTGCTACTACTCCCAACTTGTTCAAAGGATTGATTTAATAAATGAAGAATATGCCGGGCGGTGGTGGCGCACGCCTTTAATCCCAGCACTCGGGAGGCAAAGGCAGGCGGATCTCTGTCAGTTCGAGGCCAGGCTGGACTGACAGCCTCCAAAACAATACAGAGAAACCCTGTCTCGTAAAAAAAAATAATAATAATAATTAAGAATAATGTAAAATTGGTTCTAAAAATTATAAACTCTGAAGTTGTAAGTATTTAAAAATACATACAGGTCTACAATTTTTCCTAAATTAGCTAAAAGTCTTAGCTGATACAGTCTTCTTAATCCTACTTCATGTGATTTTTTTTTCATACATCTTACCTCAGAACTAATATTTGATTGTAGATTATATGTAAAATTCAATTAGGGGTGTTTTATAATATCTAATATGTTCACCATAATAGTTTTCTTATAATCTAAAAATTTTTTAATTGTGAAGCAAACCAAACTACTAATTAGTTATTAGAAAATTGTATAAGGATGATATTATTGGTAAGTTTAAATCATTTTAGTTATAAGTAAGGTCTAAAATATGTAAGATTATTATTACTTTTGTTTTCACTGCTTCATCAGTGTGGGACAAATGAAATTGGTATGTGGTGACTTGAAGTGTAATGTTTTAAGACAGGGCCTTCCTTTTGCCTTGAACTCATAGCAGTCTTACTGCTTCAACCTTCCAAGAGCATGGATTACACGTTAAATATACTTCTCTTAAAGACTTACATATAGAACAGAACTTATATATAGAACAGACTTCTCTTTTTTCACCTAAGTAAAATAATAAAGTATCATACTCAATGTTGAATTACTTTAAAGTATTATTATCTAAGTTAATGTTCTATTGCTGTGAGAGACACTACAATCAAGGCAACTCTTATAGAAACAAGCAGTTAAGTGGGAGCTTGCTTACAATTACAGAGGGTTAGTCCATTATCATAATGGCAAGGAGCATGTCTGTATGTAGACAGGCACTGGACCAGTAACTGAGAACTTTACATCCTGATCTGCAGACAGAGAGAGCAGTGTCTACTGGTCCTGGCATGGGCTTTTGAAACCTGAGAACCCACCCCAAAGTGATATACTTCCTTAAACAAGGTGACATCTACTCCAACAAGGCCATATTCCCTAATCCTTCTAATCTTTTCAAACAGTTCCACTCCCTGATGACTAAGCATTCAAATATATGAAAAATATATTATTCAAACTACCACAAATACTATATATTGAACTAATAAAGCAGGTCAATTTTTCTCTTGATTTAAGCTTAACATATGAGTTGACATAAAGGGACCATAATTAAATTAACTCCTATTTCCTCTCCCCATACTTTATTTATAACACAAATTATCTTGCCTAATTTAAGAGCTTATAATAACAGTGATTTTTTCATACATGTTGATAATGTATTTTGATCATATTCACACACATCCTTTACCCTGTCATCCCACTTCCACTGACCCCCCTCTTCCCAATTAGTCCCTCTAGTGCTTTCATGTCTTTTATGTTTTCTTAAATGCCAGTTAGTTACAGTAGGGTTGTTACAGGAGTGTGGGACCTTCCCAGTGGCTACATATCCCTGAAGGAAATGTCTCTCCCTCCCTCAAAAACCATTAACTGAATATGGATCCTCAGAAGACTTTGTTAACCCCTCCCCACCCCATGTCATGATGTTGGTGGGCCCAGTCTTATGCAGGTCCTGTTCCAGTGATCACAGTTGACTTGACTTCAAGAATACTGTAGTCATTTCTGTAAGTCAACATTCCACACCAATCTCACCCCCACTCTCCAGCTCTAGCATGCTTCCTGCCCCTTCTGTGATGTTCCCTGCCCTTTGAAGGTAAGATATGTGACAGATATGGCCTCTTCATGCTGGGCATTCAATACTCACTCATTCTCATCACTTTGATCAGGTATGAGCATCTGTAATTACTGAGCTCACTACAAAAATAAACTTCTCTAGCCAGAGCTGACAGCAGAAATGATCTATGAATATAAACAATTATTTTGAAGGTTTTTTGATAGGTACATCAGATCCATTTGCCAAATTAGAACAGTAGGACTTTCCCTCCCCAGGATCTATGACATTTCCAAACATGGACTTTTGACTGAGTTCAGAGTATCAGACAAGGATTCTCTCCCTCAGAGCAGAACTTAAATCTATAACATACTTACTACTATTGCACCAATAGGCTGTCTGGCCTAGTCTGGCAGCAGTATTATATACAGCATCTACAATTGAATAAAACTGTTAATGGTAATCTTCCCCCAGCAGTCCCCTAGCACCCTCTGGTACTATGAGGGCTAGCCAGCAGGGAGGAATCTCTTAGCTCAATTTCATTGTAGTTTCTCTATAGTGTACAATGAGGGGAGTGTGGTGCTCTCAGCAGGAAGGTCTGAACAATCTCATTTTGGTGAATCGCCAAAAACAGTGGCAATTGCTTGTATTGAAATAACTGATAATTAGTGACCAAGTGTTTCTTAAAATCTGATAGCATTCTGGGTTATTTTGCCATATTCTACCTATTCTACAAGACTGTTGTAGAAAACCTTTTTTTTTTTCAGTCCTGAGGTTAGAACTTAGGACCTTATTTATGCATGCTCTGCTAGGCAAGACACTCTACCACTGAGTTATATCTCTACCTCTCAAACTTTTGATGATTTCAGTTAGTTAATGAGTTTTAAATGTTACCTCTGCATTTCAGAAAGTTCTCTGCATATATGTATCTACACCAGCCAGTTTTTTTTTCTTTTTTTTTCTTTTTTTTCTTTTTTTTTGGTTTTTACGAGACAGGGTTTCTCTGTATTGTTTCGGAGGCTATCAGTCCAGCCCGGCCTCGAACTCACAGAGATCCGCCTGCCTCTGCCTCCCGAGTGCTGGGATTAAGGGCATGTGCCACCATCACCCGGCCACCAGCCAGTTTTGTAGGTGAAATTAATAACATAGAAAAAGGCAAAGGCTGGGATGTGGTGACATATGCCTTTAATCCCAGCACTCAGGAGGCAGAGCCAGACAGATCTCTGTGTTTTCAAGGCCAACCTGGTTTCTAGGACACCCAGAGCTACACAAAAAGAAACCCTGTCTTGAAACCCCCAAAGAAGAGAGAGAAGCAAAGTTCAGAACATGTAATTATTGATATAGTCGCTGGGCGACAGTGGCACACGCCTTTAGTACCAGCACTCGGGAGGCAGAGGCAGGCGGATCTCTGTGAGTTCGAGGCCAGCCTGGTCTACAGAGTGAGTGCCAGGACAGCCTCCCAAACAATACAGAGAGACCCTGTCTCGAAAAATCAATGTCAATGATAAGCAACAGTTTTAAATACATTCATATTTTTCTTTGCATATATAGATATCAATATGATGGATATTCTTACAACACCATCAATGGCTAAACCTAAGCAAGATTATTCACGAACCCCAGGACAAGTCTTATCTCTCATCAGTTCTTTGGGATTTGTGAGTACTTAATGAGGAAAACCTCTTCATCATCACCATTTAAAATTTTAACCTTAAGATGAAAATAAAATAGGTGTAAATATCAAACATAAGATGGCATTACTTTTGGCAATTTGTGTACTCAGATGGCATGGTATCAATTCTTATAGTCACCTGAAAATGAATCTCTTAGTATCTGATTTTAATTTTTGCTTGTAATATTTTTCTTTTTAGAAAATTTTAACACATGTAGGTGTGGATGTGTGCACCACAGTGCACAAATGGAAGCAGAGGACAACTTATAGCAGTCAGTTCTCTCCTTCCCACCATGTGGGGGACCCAGGGATAGAAGTCATGTCATTAGGTGGGAGGTGCCTTTACCCTCGGCCATCTTACTGGCCCCAAATAATTTTGCTTTTTAATAGTTCACACCAGTTGGAGAGAAAGATGAAGACTCTGCAACCATGTTTTCAGCCCCTATGTCTGAAGCACAGCTTTCTCAAGGATCAGTTTGCCCGATGTCCATAGATCAGAAAGGGCCTACTTGCCATTCTAGCAGACTACTAAAGTCATGTAAGTGTAAAAGAGTATTTCATCCCACTAAGTGTATGCTTTAAAGAACAAAAATAGCTCAAAATTTTAAGTTCCTAATAGCAGTCTAATAACTTCAAAATGCCAATATTCAATGTGTGCCACTCCTATATATTACTATATAAATGATGATCACAGTAGATTTTATAAATCCCACAGAATAAACTGTCTTGCTAGTTATCATATTCAGTTACCTATAATATTGGAACAATGATGATTAAGTGAATTTCACTATACTTGGGTCTGAAACTTTCATATGAAAAAGATAAAGTAACTGCAATGTTTGTCTTTATAAACTTATTTCCAAGAGATTTTGAGGTAATTTAAGTTTAAAAACTCAAAATAGAGATTGAGGTTTTCTTATTGTTCATTGTTTTGGGATTTTTTGCTTGCTTGTTTGTTTTGTTGGTGTTTTGAGATAACTTCTCAACAAGTCTAATGTTGAACTATTAGCCCAGGTTTAAATTTCAGTGTTCTTGCCTCAGCCCCCTAAGTACTGAAGTTACAGGTATGTGTCACTGCAACTGATTTCAAAGAAAGTATATTTGTGCATTTAAAAGAAATGCGGTGGTGGTGCACGCCCTTAATCCCAGCACTCGGGAGGCAGAGGCAGAGGCAGGTGGATCTCTGTGAGTTCGAGGCCAGCCTGATCTACAAAGCTACACAGAGAAACCTTGTCTTGAAAAATGAGGAAAAAAAAGAGTAAGTTAGATTAGATGGACTTTGAAATTCCCTTCCTGGTTATGAAATGTAATGATGCTTATTACTATGTTATAAATTTCTAATTTCTTGGAGTTTAATGTCATGTTCATCCTCTTGGAGAAAGAAAACGGTATGTGTGTGTGTTTAGTTTCTTTTCTTTTGCTGTGATACAACACCATGGCCAGGACAGCTTAACAAAAGTGTTTAAGAGTTTAGAGTTCTAGAGGTTAGAGGTCATGATGGCAGAGCTAGGACAACTGTAGCTTGAGCAACAGTTGAGAAGTCACATCCTTATCCACAGACGAGACGCCAAGAACACACTGGGCATGTCTGCCCCTGTGACACACCTCCTCCTTTCAGGCTACACCTAATCCTTCCCAAACACTTGTACCAAAATGAGCCTATGCAGGCCATTCTCATTCAAGCCACCACAATATGCACTTTATAAAATGTTTAGACACTTACATAGTTCCAGAAAAGGACAACTGTCTCTTGTCTAATTGAAAGTAAATTGAGGACCTTAATTCTGTCTGCAAAACCACTTGAAAAAGTCAGGCATGATGGTGTACTTTTGTAATCCCAGAACTAAGGAGATAGAGACAGGGATCCCTTGGGCTGACTGGCTAGCCAGTCTGTCCTGCTAGGCTAGCTCAAGGCCTGTGATAGACCTTATCTCAAAAAACAAAGTGGAAGCTGGAGAGATGGCTCAGCAGTTAAGAGAACTGGCTGCTTTTCCAGGGGATCTATCTACCTTTAATTCCCAGTACTCACATGGCAACTCACAAACGTCAGTAAGTTCAGTTTCAGGGTATCTAACACACTTTCTGGCTTCCACAGGTACTAGGCATGCACATGGTGCACAGACACACATACAAGCAAAAATACCTATACATATAAAAATAAATTAAAATACATATGATGATGATGATGATGATACATGGTACCTGAGAAACTGCCCCAGACTGATCTCTGGCCTCCAACTCAAACACACACATACACAAAGCTAAGGAGCAATCATTTCTAGCCATATTTATGTAGGATGAAGGAAAAAATATACTCTAGGTGCTGTCTTATTACAGTGCTCACTGGTAGTCAATTTTCTATCATTTGGTCCATCAGATCATAGTAGCAAATCCCTTATGGAGATATAAGTGTGAAGCTCATTGGTAGAATGTGTATATAGTCCTGGGTACAATCCTCAGCACTGCAAAAAAAAAAGCAAATGCCTATGGCTTTCTGTAATTCATACCGATGAGCATGATAAATTACAACATCTCCAGTACTGCTATAGCTTTAATTGAGCTGGGTAAATCTAATAACATTCTAAACTTATAGCATATCTCAATAATGCACACCAATAAATGCTCTGGCTCAATAACTCTAAAATAAACCATATGTAACTCAAAATAAATTCCATCTAATTGTATTTTAATTTCCTTATTATGGCTTTTATTTTACAAATGTAAAGAGATTTTGTTTTGTTCAAACCTTTGGAGCATTGCCTACATTTGAAATAATTTATGAATCTGAACATAATAAGTATCATATCAGATACACCACCACCTTGTGGACCAAATATGTTTACAGAGAATAGTTATGTTATATGTAATACAATTACCTGGAAAGAGGTTTCACAAAGAACTAATAGCTGTAAAAATAAACAAGTATTTTCTTTTCCTTACAGGCCTTGAAAGACTTGCATCCAATCCAGAAATACCTGTGAAATGCCTGACTTCCAATCTGCTCCAGTGCAGGAAAAGACTGGGTACATCGAGCACTAGTAGTCTGTCTCATAAGTTCGTGTCCAGTGTGGAGTCAGAGTGCCACAGCAGTCCCAAATGGGAACAAGACTGTCAGGTCAGGAGGAGTCTATGTAAGCCAAATAATGTACACATGAAACTGATGATAGCAACACCATGCCTTTCCATATAAAAGGAAATGGCATTGTTACATGGGCAAGTTTAAAGTATTATAAAAAATTCTTCATTTTTTTGGATATCTATCAAATTATTTTAATATCTTTATTTCATTTCTCATTCAGTTTGTGATATTAGTCTTGCTTAATGTTTGATGAGTGAGTAAGTATTGTAGTGAACCCACAGAAAATGTTTGGCTTCCTAGAAGACTTTTTAATTTCTTTTTGTAATAAAGACATGGGTGTTTGTTTGTTGTTTGTTTACCTACCTAATTTTAAAACTCATTATATCTCCTGTACTATTTGGCTTCCTAACAGACTTTTTAATTCCATTCTGTGATAAAGACATTGAGTGCTTATTTTTTGTTTACCTACCTAATTCTAAAACTCATATCTCTTATACTGTTTCCCACCAATTTCTCATTTAATGGAATGGAAACTTCAGAGATAACTTTTAGATCATAAAGTTAATAGGGGTGGGTCTGTAAAAGTGTCTGTTCCAGGTCCAGTGTTAGTCAAATGGATGGGTGTTCTTTAAATTATTATACTTAATTTATATATTATTTTTGCTTTTTCTATAAAATTATTAGTGCTAATTAATACAAAAGGCGATAGGAGCTTAGATGTAAAATTATATTTAAGTTCTCCTCCATAGAAGGTTGATAAAATCAAAATAAGTCTTTCCTTTAATAAAGTAATTTATGTTATATTTGCTTATTTTCAGAATCTGACTTTCCTCATTGTGGTTGAATATTTGTGTTTTTAGAGCAAAGTCCAATATAGATAAACCAAGATATCTGGGTCTTTTTTCACTTTTTAGACTATACTATATGTTGTACAATAAATAGTTTTCTACTTCCCATCTCATCTCTTTCATATTCTAGAGATCATAATGTACATTCTTTCTATCTGTGCATAGCTTCACCTTCTTCTTCCCACTTAGTTCTGTACAGAGGAATACAGTGATGAGAATATAGAAGATTATATATAGTAGAACAGTTATAATCATATGGGTGATAATGGATCCTTTGGGACCCTCTGATAACATTACACAGATCCCTAGGTTCATCAATTTCTGTACCAGATAACCAGTGAATTGTAATCCAGAAATTTTCTTAGAATAAAGTATTCCTCACTATTAAATAAGTTATGGTAGTTATTAAAGTTTAATGTTTATACATTAAAAATAGACACTGTTAAGAGTGGCACTGTATCTTTGTGCTAGTGCATTTGTTTTACATGATTTTAGGTTCAGTCCCCAGTAATACCAGGAGTGGAGAAAAAAAGATAGTATTAGAGATTGCCTTAGATTCATGCTAAGAGAGTACTCTTATAAAAATCCTAGTCACCAGTCAAACCTGAGATACTTGAAACTGTCCCCAAAAGATAAAAGAAAAGAATTTTGTTTCTATGCAGTGTCGATTGATCTTTTTGATAATTTTCTTTTATTATTTTTGTTTGTTGGCAAGTAGTCTACCACTGAGTTACATCCTCAACAATGGATTTTAGTTCCTAGGTATTTCTGGTTTTATTTTATTGTTTATATTATAGTGATGCATGTTTACAATAACTGTTTTTGGCCTCTAAACTTTCAGTGACTAGATTTTAACCCTTGCATTTTACAGTTTAAACAGAATCACCATACTTCTATTGCAAAACAGATAATGTACTCTATAATATAGCCCTACCCTTAAACTTATCTAAATATATTTTACTAATATTTTGTTTAATAAATTCTATATTATATATAATTTTTCAATTTTCTATTATCATAATTCTTCTGTTTCATTTAAAAACAAAAAAAGGTAGCATACTAGTTCATTAGATTACTTCTCTCAGATTAGAAGCTTTTAAAGAATCTGGGGTTTATAACTAAAAATAGCATTTTCATCCTCTTAGGAAAGTACCAAGTCATCTGGCTGTAAAATGACGAACTGGAATGTAGTTGAAATGCTTCATGCAAAATCTACAAATGCCATTGAGACAAAAACAGATCTTGAATTAGCACTTTCTCCCATTCATAACAGCAGTGCCATTCCTGCCACTGAAATCAACCATGTGAACCTCCCAAGAAAATGCTTCTCTGAAGAAATCTCTTGGGAACCAAAAGAACCAGATATAAATAATGAGAACATGACCATTGACATGAAACAATCTGTTTTCCATCACTCCAATCAGTGGGCTATAAATTCTAGTGGTATGTCTGAAGAACACCTTGGCAAAAGAAGTTATAAGAGGAATTTCCAATTGGTTGACTCTAGTCCTTGTCGGGAAATTATACAAAGTAAAAAAAACTGTATAGAGTATAAGCATAGTAAGGAAATGATAGATTGCTATGCAAATCAAAATACAGGTATCACAGTTGAAGTCCAGAATCTGAGGCTGTCAGGATCCAGAAGTCAACAAAATGACTCTGCTAATAAGGAGAACATTGTCACCTATTTTACTGGTAAACAAACCCCCGAAGAATTACATATACCAATGATAGCAAAAAACCTTATGTCTGAACTCGATGAAGACTGTGAGATGACTAGTAAAAAGGACTGCCTAAATTCTAATTCTCTATGTTCTGATGAGGATACAGCTCCTCATACTGTCTGTGTGGATTCAGACTCATCTTTTCCTGGACTTTCTATGATGGAAAGTTCACTAGAAATTCAGTCTTCAGAACCAGATAAAGGCAACAAAGAATACTCTTTTGAAGAAGCAAATATTGAAGATGTACTTGTATTACCACAGTGCCAAGAAAATTCCTTGCCAAAAGATGATTGGCATACTTCTATCCAAGATAATAGCCAAATGTTAGCTCCCTCTTCAAGGGCCCTGAACCCGCTAACCTCAAAAACAAATGTCGTAGCTTTTCGAAGCTTTAACAGTCATATTAATGTATCCAATAATTCAGAACCATCCAAGATGAGCGTAAGTTCTTTAGACACTATGGACATTTCCTATGATTACCGCGGCTCGTATCCCATGGCTGTGACCCCTACTCAAAAAGGAAGATCCTGTATGTCACATCAGGTATATGAAAGTTTGTTAGCACTTTATTCGTTGGATGTTAGAATAATAACCTAAGACACACACTTGCTCTCAGCTAGGTTATATGGTATTAATTATACAGTTTTGTTCTGTTGAAAATTTTTCATATATAAATGTAAAGTTGATAGTAGTGTGCATTATTTTTAACAGTTAAATAACTATGGTTTTCTAAGAAAATAGGTATTTTCACTTATCTTAGCAGTACTTTGAAATATGAAATTGAAGTCTATATTATCCTCCAGCAGCAAATATTTTAATTATTTGCCTTTATTTTCTGTACTTGTATAAACCAAAAATTCCATTTTTTATTCCTTTAAAAGGGCATTGTAAAAAGGTTACATTTTTGTTTTCCTTTAAAGGATTAGATGTTCCTTAACTTCAGATCCTATTTTCCAACTGCCTGTAAAGGATTAAAGCCCCTTAAAACTGTTTCAAAAGGTTGTTGTTATGCAGTAGTTACCTTAAAACCTTTTAAGTACCTTGTAGTATAAGGGGAGACAGATGCTTATTTTATCTTACATGATGTCTTAATAATTCAGTCATTTGTCAGCCATAGCTTTTCTTATTCTTTGTATCAATCCAAGCTGTCAAGAAATTTTTCTTAGACAGAATACCTTGTTATAAACCTTGGGAGGCTAAGGCAGGGGGATTGTGGGATTGAGGTCAGTGTGGCCTATGTAGTGAAACTATCTCAAAAGAAAAGAAAATTTTGATTTTGGGAATTTTTAAATGCTTTTCTTTTATAGTTATATCATATTGAAATAATTGATGTCATCTGAACTATTGAATTTTATTATATATAAGGACCTTTTCATAATTATATCTAGTATTAGTCTATTTTTAAATCCCTGATCAAGGATTTGTTGTTGTTGTTGCTTCAATACTTTTGTTCATCTAGAAGAAATTAATTTATTTGTTATGTCTTGAACTCTTCTTGAATTAGCAGACTCCAAATCAGCTGAAGTTGGGAACATCATACAGAACTCCAAAGAGTGTGAGAAGAGGGGCAGCCCCAGTGGATGATAGACGAATTCTAGGAACTCCAGATTACCTGGCACCTGAGCTCTTACTGGGTACAGCCCACGGTAAGTTATATGTTACATGTCTTGAGTTTTGAATTTTCACCAATGACTATATTATCCTTTTACATAAAATTGTTTTCAATTTCTTTGATAATCTGTGTTCAACCCCTGGGACCCACATGGTTCCTCCACTCCCAGAAATTGTCCTTCAACAAACATACTGTGGCGTATGTTTTTTTGTTTATTTTTGTTGTTGTTGATTGAGACAGGTTTTTTGAAGGGGACTCCTGTACAGCAGGGTGCTCCCTTCCAGACCCCAGATTAGGCAGAAACCACACCCAAACACCTGTTTCCACTGAGAGATCCTTTATTAAGCAAGAAAGAAAAACTAAAGTGGTGGCTTTCTGACTCAGGCAGAAAACACTTGCAAATGACCTTGCAGGTGCAATTTTAAGAGAAGGAAGTAGGGAGGTCTGTGTTAGAATGGGCTAGCATGGGAGATTAAGGATGAGGGACAAGGGAAAGGAAGTAGGGATATTTGTCCTGGAGGGACAAATGACTGCCTCTGGATAGAGGGGAGACAGACTTAGCACATAGGCAAATGGTGTTTATAAAGGTAAAGAGGGAAACCTTGTTCAGTTGATCATGTTAATTAGGTGAACCCAGAGGGTTTTCCATTGTTAGACTTTGGTAGTCAGCCTCAGGAGGAGGAGGCTAGCTTTAGGAATATAATCTAATGGTTTTTATTAAGGCAGAGGGAATGGGGAGAATGGCAAGGCCTGCCAGAGCCACATGCTCTAGTGGCACAGTATCTCTTCAGTCTTACTATATAGACCAGACTAACCTCGAACTCAGAAATCCTTCTGCCTCCCAAGTGTGTCACTAGACCTGGAAATAAATAAACATGATTCTTTGATACTTAAAAAAAGGGATGCATGGCCTCTCTATGCCCTGTAGCATTTAAAGTGGGAAAAGGGAAAAAAAAAAAAAAACAACTTGGGACTGGGTAGATAGATGGCTCAGTTAGTGCAGTATTTGCCATGCAAGCATGAGGACCTAAATTCAGATCCCACAAGGGTACCTACATAAAAATGAGCCATGAAGTGGGGGCAATGGAATGGTGGCCAGTGCGTATCATCTCGGCACTGAGAGACAGACAGGAGGATGCTGGGGTCTTCCTAGCCTGCCAGTCTTAACAAACCAGTGAGTTCCAGGTTTAGCTGGTTTTTTGAAACAGTTCCCTGTTACAAAACATTAAAGGGACACTGCTAGAAGAAGACAGCCTACATGAACCTTTGGCCTCCACATGTGTGCACAGCCCCTCCACACACACACACAAACATGCATATATCACAACATACACATTTTAAAAAAAAATTATCCTCCAGGTGTAGCCAAGGCCTTAAGTGCACCCCAGGCAAGAGCTCTGCCACTGAGCCACATCTGCAGCTCTAGTGGATTTGCCTTTAATCATGAATACAAAGTTAGTCCTAAATTTCTATCCAGTCTGCAGAATTTAACCTCATTGTCTGGTCACAGCAATGAAAAAAAGCAATTAATAACGGCCATGAGTTGTAAAACTTAACAGTATTTTTATACACTGTATTTATATATACTATATCATAGGAACTGCAAAATAAGCATAACCAAATATCCTAAATTCCAGGTACCCTGGAGCAGTCCAGAAAGGTGGGTTACACTGTTTCTCAATATTTAAGAGATTCCCCAAAGTAAACAGAAGGCATCAACTCCCCAGTGAGACTCAGATGATTTTCTTTCTCATTTCATCATTTGAACCAGTCTGACATACTCACACCTAATAATCCACCAGCTCCAGCTCTAGGTTAGCTTAGTTTCTTTTGACTCTGAATTGCCCTAAATCAAACCATCAAGTACAAACATTTCTATACAAAAGCTTCAGAGCTTGCACTATGCTTGTTAAATTTAAATACAAGCCAAAGTTAAATAAATGAATAAAGATGCACAGAGAAGATTTTATACCTACCAAGTAGAATAGATTATAATGTAATTACAAAATGAAAACAACTTTTTCTTTCATGGCTAAGTATGGTTAACTAGTTAGGCATTAGACTTTTTTTTTAAGTTTCCTTTTTTTAAAAGTTGTTTGGGTTTTTTTTTTGGTTTTTTGTTTTGTTTTATTTTGTTTTTTTTGTTTGTTTGTTTTGTTTTGGGGGTTTTGTTTTGTTTTGTTTTTTGATATTTTAAGACAGGGTTTTCTGTGTAGCTTTGTAGTCCAGGCTGGCCTTGAACTCATAGAGATCCACCTGCCTCTGCCTCCTGAGAGCTGGGACTTAAGGAGTACACCACCATCACCTGGCTAAGATTTCTTATTTGTATGTGTATGAATGTCTGCATTTATGTATGCTTACCATCTGTTTGCCTGGTATCAAGAGAAGCCATGAAAGGATGTCAGATTTCTGTACAACTAGAGGTGCAGATGGTTGTGAGACACCATGTGGGTGCTGGGAACTGAATCCAGGTCCTCTGCAAAAGCAGCCAGTACTCTCCAATAGCTGAACCATCTCTCTAGTTCCCAGGAATCGTTTTCCTGAGTTATAACCTACCTTCTTTATAATTCACCCAATTAATGTATACAATGCAGGCTTTGTTTGTTTTTTTTTTTTGTTTTGGGTATATTCACAAGGTTGTACAAACATTACTACAATATCCCATTACATCAGCCTTAAACTATGTATCCATTAGTAGCCACAACCTGTTTTCTCTTGCCCTCTCATCCTACCCCAGCCTTAGTCAGACACTAATCTACTTCCAAGCTTGGCCTATTATGGGCATTTTATATAACTAGAGCCATTCTAAACAACAACAAAAATAGCCCTCATTTCTATCGTCACTAGGATGGGTCAATCATGAAATGAGCAATCCTTCCTACACAATAAGAAAACTTCTCTGCTGTCTCATTGATTACATCAGAGTTCATGTCTCATGAACCTTAACTGAATTGAAGCACCTTGGGCTGCTCCTCTGGATAGGATTGCCAGTCTCTTTATCAACGTTCCCTGGCTTACCTTTTGGATAAAGGTTCTGCTTTCCTTGCCACTTGTAGAGCTGTGTAGCTCCATCTATGTGCTGCTAGCCCCATTTTACTGACATGCTTGTGTTCTCAGCACTTCCCAACTACCAAGTCTACCTGTCTGATTTCTGGTGCTCTCCTGCGGTAGAGGCTATTCATTGTTACTCTTTTTGTTGTTATTGTTGTTTTGTTTTTTTGTTTGTTTGTTTTTCAAGATAGGGTTTCTCTATATAACAGCTCTCTGGAGGTCCTGGAACTTGCTCTGTAGACCAGGTTGGCCTTGAACTCAAAGATCTGCCTGCCTCTGCCTCCTGAGTGCTGAGATTAAAGGTGTGCGCCACCACCACATTCTTAGTTATACTTGTCTCTTTTATCTCATTAATCCTCCAAGTCCATATCTAGCTTATTATAAAAACACCAGTCATAGTGAGTTATAACTCTGCTCTAATCCAGGACAACCTTGTATCTTTTTTGGTTGTTTTTTTATGAAATTACAGATTTGAACTTAGGCATGTACTCTACACCTGAATGTCATTTACTTCCCTTTTCTTCAAGTTTGTCTTAGGATTTAGTTTTTTTGTTTAATTGTTTGTTTTGGAAGGGGAGACAGAAAGATGGCTTGAGCCTAGGACTTTAAGATCAGTCTGGTTAATATAATTCAATCCCTGTCCAAAAATAAATAAAAATTTTTATTTCAATAAAGGAACTATTTAAAAGTTTGTTTTACCTATTAAAATGTACCTCTAATTCCTTTTCATGCCATAGTTCAATTGAATATTTCTTATTAAACTATTGGTTTGTCATTAAAAAGAAAAAAACTGGATAGAAAGATGGATCTTCACTTAAAAGCACTTGTTCTCTTCCAGAGGACACAAGTTCTGTTCCCAGCATTCACATAAGGCTACTAACAATTGCCATAACTCCAACACCAAAGGAATGAACATCTTCTGGTCTCCAAGCACATGCATACACATGGAATTCACTTGCACAGACACATAAATAAAAAAATAAAATAAATATTTTTAAAAAAAAAACCTAAGCCAGGCGGTGGTGACGCATGCCTTTAGTCCTAGTACTTGAGAGGCAGAGGCAGATGGATCTCTCTGAGTTCGAGGCCAGCCTGGTCTACAAAGCTACACAGAGAAATCTTGTCTCAAACTAACAAACAAACCTTAAGCTTGGCAGTGATGGTGCTTGCCTTTAATTTCAACACTCAGGAGGCAGAAGCAGGTGGATCTCTGTGAGTTTGAGGCCAGCCTGGTCTACAAAGCTAGTCCAGGAGAGCCAAGACTAATATATAGAGAAACATTGTCTCAGAAAAAAAGAATTTTTAAGAAGAAACTGTAATTTGAAGTTCCCCAAGAGAAGGCCATAACGCTGATAAAGATGTGTGTGCATGAACATGTGTGGACATATGAATTCAGGCTTTCGACATCCCTGTTGGAGCACTGAGGTACAGACGCTCCTGCCATAGCACCTATGTTTTTACATACAACCTGGGAATTTGAACTCAGCCCATATACTTTCTTTACAAGCACAGTTTTTTGTTGTTTGGCTTGGTTTTGACTTTAGTTTTTGAGGTGTTTTATTTTATATTTTTTTAATTTACTTTATTCTATTTATTATGTATACAGCACTCCATGTAAGACTGCATACCAGAAGAGGACACCAGATCTCATTACAGATGGCTGTGAGCCACCATGTAGTTGCTGGGAATTGAACTCAGGACCTCCAGAAGAACAGCCAGTGTTCTTAACCTCTGAGCCATCTCTCCAGCCCGAGGTGTTTTATTTTTGAAACAGGGTCTCACTATGTAGCCCTAGCTGGCCTTGAACTCACTATGCATACCAGACTGGCCTTAAACTCACAGATATCCTCCTGCTTCTGCCAACCTAATGGTAGGATTAAAGTTTCTGGTGGCTGAGTCATTTCCCCAGCCCAACACCCATGTTAAAAATCTACAAAGCCAAATAACTGAACTCCCTGATTTTTTTTTTTTTTTTTTTTTTTT